GCACATTCCCAGCCCTATACCCCACCCCCTTTTTAGCCATCCTAGAGACACCCATGTTTATCTCTTGGGTTCAGTGGTTTGACATTCATTACCATGCCTCTAACTATCACCTGTGTATTGCCACTTGTGGAATTTCCAGTTTTAAGGGTTGTTTCTTGGCTTTCCATTGTGAAAGATGAGGAGTTAGTCTCTCCTACCCCATAGCAGAAGGCCTCACTTACCTTCCTATTTTTTTAAGATAGTTTAGTGAGATAAACTCAAACTAAGCAGATGCTCTTTGCAACTGATCATATGGTAGACTATGATCACTTCTTTTTTTGCACGGGTTATTGTTGTTGTTGTGTGTATATGTGTTTCTTCCTGATACTTGGTGATTTTGTATTTTTGTCTTAGAGTTTTACAATTATAACAGTATGTAATAACCTTAGGCTTCTACTCACGAGCAAGCATGACTTCCAACCTCCTGTGGGCGGTGATATCTCTTCTCTCTCTTCTTCTCCAGTACAAAATTTCAGTTGGCACAATCTTGTTAATGTTTACCTTAGTGATTAAATATTCTGGCTTTGCCAGCTTTAAGCAAGGCTCCTTGGCTCTCAACTATTTCATATAACTCAATTCATTTCTCAGCATCTCAGCTATTATTCATTGAATCATTCTATAGTATAACATCAAGGTATACAATTACATTCTTTTCTCTTCATCTGAGACATTGCTATTGTCATAGCTCTGTAATTTAATATTGCCAATGTTCATCTCTAGGTCTTTTGGACATAATTTTCTTTATCAGTTGCTTGGTGAAAAAACATACTCAGTTACTTAAGAATAATCTTGAGGGATAAGATGGATGTGGTGGTATGTTTATAATCCCAGTACTTAGGATGTAGAGGCTGAAGGATTGCAAGTTCCTTCTAGAGAAGCTACACAGAGAAGATTCTATGTAAAATAAAAAAGTAAAAAAATAAAGAAAGAGAGAAAGCTGGGCATTGGTGGCTCACACCTGTAAACCTAGCTACTCAGGAGGCTGAGATCTGAGGATCATGGTTCAAAGAGCCTGGGCAGGAAAGTCCGTGAGACTCTTATCTCTAATGAACCACTAGAAAAACCAGAAGTGGTGCTGTGGCTCAAGCGGTAGAGCACTTGCCTTGAGCTGATGAGCACAGGGACAGTGCCCAGGCCCCGAGTTTAAACCCCATGACTGACAAAAAAAGAAAGAAAGAAAGAAAGAAAGAAAGAAAGAAAGAAGGAAGATAGGGAAAGATAGAAGAAGGAAGGAGGGAGGGAAGGACAAAAAGAAGTCAGAAAGAAAGGAAAGAAGGAAAGGAGGGAGGGTGAGAGAAAGAGAGAGAAAGGAGAAGCAAAGAAGGATGACAGGAAGGAAGGAAATTGGTGCATGTAATCATGGTGGGTGAGAAGTTCCTTTGCAGGCCATCTGCAAGATGGAGAATCTGGCATGCCTGTAGTGTGGTTTGGTCCATGTATCTCAGGAGAGAGAGAGGCGGGGGAGAGAGAAAGAGAGAGAGAGACAGACACACAGACACACAGACACGCAGACAAAAAGACATAAAGAGACACAGAGAGAAACAGACACGGAGACACAGATAGACAAAGAGACAAAGAGACAGAGACAGAGACACAAGACAGAGGTAGAGACAGAGACTGAGAGAGAGAGTCCTTTCTTCTTCCTTTTTATTTTTATCCAGTTCCCTAGCCGATTGGGTAATTCCTTCAGACACCGAGGTTGGATCTCCTCATCACATTTAGTTCACCATCTTACACGCCTTCTGATGCATCCTCATAGACACATGTAGTGATAATGCTTCATCATTTCCCTAATTAGTTCTCAGTATTCATAAATCCAGTCAAGCTGACATGTAAAATTAACAATCACAGCTACTTAGTGTAATTATATGACATACAAGTTTTACACTTGCAAATGGAGAAGTATAGAACATTAGCTATTCCAGGTTTCAAGGTGTCTACTACCTGGGTAGGTCTGGGGCCTACTAGCCTTTTGTGACACTGCAAATCAGGTTGGTCCATACTAGCCTATAGGATCACTGCACACAACTGTGGAAGCCTGTGGCCTGGACCTGGCCCTTTATCCTGTCTCTTGGTACAAGCCAGGGCTGTAGATGACAGTCTTACTGTTAGGGAGGCGAAATGGGTCACGTTTTTTAGGATTTGCTATAACATAATTAAAGTTGGGAAGGTCCTTGCTACTTCTGGATGTATGTTGTTTGGTCTATGATCCATGAGATATGAGTGCAGGTTATTCAAGATTGATAGGAAGCTTGATTTTCATGTTTTATGAAAAGGCTGAATCAGTATTCTGTCTGATGCATTGGAAAAAAATATAGCTACACTGGACTGCACCAACAACATGTTTGTTTTTCCTCTGTGAAGCACTAATAGTCTTTATTGTGTTAGTTTGTTGGGAAATTAACTTGTGCTAATTGGCTAATTAATTTGTTAACCCGTTAGGGATTTGTTTTGTGGATGGTCATGGTGTTATATGCTTGAGGAATGACCACTCCATCGTTCCATGGAAAA